ACCCAGAGAACATTGGTTCTGGGTAAGCTGAGGCTCTAGGGAGGCCCATGGTGATTTACAAAGGGAGTGTGTTCAGGAGGAAGAGGAAGGACAGGCAGGTGCTGCCAGTGGCCAGGGTCACTTGGTCTCATTAGAGAGCCTTGCTGAACAGATCACTGATAGGACTGGATTTCACAGAAGCCCTAGCTTTCCCCACCTGTCATGTCAAATTCTTTCATCTGAAGGGATCAGACCCACTATGCTGAGTGTGCTAATGTTATCTTGATTGCAACTCCATCCCCATCAACAATAGGGTTTAATGAGCAGCCTGGATAGTACAGAACCAAGGTCAGCAAACTATGGCCCATGGACCAAATCCAACCTGCCACCTGTTTTTATAAAGTTGCATTGGCACACAGCCACACTCATTCATTTATGTAATGCCTATATCTGCTCTTGTGCTATGATGGCAGAGTTGGGTAGTCAGAACAGAGACCCAATGATGTGCAAATCCTGAAGTATTTACTACCTTGCCCTTTATATAAAATATTTGCCAACATCTAGGATACAGCCTTATAGCTGCTTCAGAGACAGAGGCCTTGTCCAGGTAAGGGAAGGATCAGCTGACTCCTTCAGGATATGTTTATGTCCCTGGATAAATGTGATTTCATTAATACAACTGAAAAGAAATCTAGACTTAGTTAGAATCCCCTTATAATTCAAAGCCACCTTTTCAATGTGGATATGAAAGACAACTGCCATGTCCTCTGAGGTTGGGCCTGGTTCTGGCCTCCCTATTAATCTGGGGCAAGGGGGGAGATGGAACTAATTGAAAAGAAACCAAGGCCATTCCATGCACTACTTGGATAGTTAAAAGAGACTTCTCTTGGGGCACCTGGGTGGTTCTGTCGGTTGAGCATCCAACTTTGGCTCAGATCCTGATCTCATGGTTTGTGGGTTCAAGTCCCACATTGGGCTTTGTGCTGACAGTGCAGAGCCTGCTTCAGATTCTCTGTCTCCCTCTCTGCCTCTCTCCCCCCAAATAAACATGAAAAATGTTTTATAAAAAAGAGAGACCTCTCTCAAGGAATTGTGTGCTATCAACCAGGCCCTTGCTATTCATTATTTTATTTATTATAACAATCTTTAACATGTCTGATGCACATAGGTGCAATAGTTCAACTGTCTAAATGCCCACCTATTGTAAGTATAGTTGACAGTGGCTTAAGTCTGCTCAATCCAGACAAAATAGAGATCTAAGACATTATTTTTTAGAAGTTTGTGCTGCAAAATACTATCCTGCAAAATACTTATTTAAAAGATCCAGTGTATTTAGGGGTGCCTGGGTGGCTCAGTTGGTTAAATGACCAACTCTTGATTTCATCTCGGGTCATGATCTCTTGGTTCATGGGACTGAGCCCCTCATTGGGCTCCATGCTGTCAGCTTGGGATTCTTTCTCTCCCTCTCTCTCTGCCTCTCTCCCACTCATGCTCTTTCTCTAAATAAATAAATAAACAAAATTTTTTTAAAGATAATAAGAAACTAAAAGTCCAATATGTAGAAAACTTTGCATACATCACCACTTTCTTGTAAATACACAAAACCATTACCAAGTTATGGACTCTGAGAAATTCTGCAGTAAAGATCCTGTTCAGCTTTGCTTAATGTAGTGTTTTGCAAACACTTTATCATGGAATCCTTTGGTTAACAAATAACATCCCATAAAACTAGTATTCCAAGAGACACACTTTGGGAACTGTTGAACCTAGATGATGGTGGTGATATGATTGATGATGATGATGACTGATGATTGATGATAATGGCTAATATTTATTAAGCAATTATAACAAGCCAGACACTGGCCTGAGTATTTACATGTATTAATTCACTTAACTCTCTGAGCAACCCTATGAGACCAGTACTGCTATTAATTCCACACTTGATAGATAAGGAAACCAAGTCACAAAGAAGATGAACAACTTGCCCAAAGTCACACAGCTAGTAAGGCCTGGAGATTATGAGTCCCTCAAAGAGAGGGATTGGGTATCAATTCATCTCTGCATGGCCTGCACTTTGCACAGTGCCTGTCACAAAGTGCATACACAGGAAATAACAGTTGAATTGGAAATAAGATCCTAATAAAAAAGAGAAGCAGGGCACCTGGGTGGCTCAGTCAGTTGAGTGTCTGAATCTTGATTTCAGTTCAGGTCATGATCCCAGGGTTGTGGGATCAAGCCCCACATTGGGTTCCATGCTCAGCATGCTTAAGATTCTCTCTGTCTCTCTCTCTTTCTCTTTCTCTCTCTCTCTCTCTCTCTCTCTCTCTGCCCCTCTCCCCCACTCACACTGTCTCTCCCTCCAAAATAAAAAACTTAAAGGGGTGTCTGGGTGGTTCAGTCAGTTAAGTGTCTGACTTCGGCTCAGGTCACGATGTCAATGTTTGTGAGTTCGAGCCCCGTGTCAGGCTCTGTGCTGACAGCTAAGAGCCTGAAGCCTGCTTCGGATTCTGTGTCTCCCTCTCTCTCTCCCCCTCCCTGCTCATGCTCTGTCTCTTTCTGTTTCTCAAAAACGATAAATAAGCGTTATTTTTTTAATTTAAAATTTAAAAAAACTTCAAAAAGGAGAAGCAACTAAAATATGTTGAAGAGAACATTTAAGATCTTTAAGTGGTATTTAAACAATGAGAGCATTCCCTCATCATTTGGGGTTTCTATTTGTTCCAGACAGGACTGTGCCCTAGATAATATTACTACTATAAACCATTTTATATAGTGTAACCATTTTCGTATTTTATTTAATAGACCCTACTTTAGGTTAATGCAGAAATTATAGAAAAGTATCAGATAGTGCAAATCCTATTTAGCCACAAGAAATAATATTTCATTTGAAGGTGCATTAAATTAGGCCTTTTGAGTGGCACAAAGTATATTGAAAGAGGCAATACCACATCCATAAGAAACCACTCTATTGCCTTTGTTGGTAGAGTAGATGGAATTTGTTAAATGCAGTAAAATAACAGCTACTGAGAATAGTCAATAGCAGCTTTTTAAATATTACAGACCTAAAAATATATCAAGGTCAAAATTAGTAGATAAAATACTGGTGAGTGTTCAGTGTAGATTTGAGGGAATCCAGAAAGCACTAAGGAAGAAAAATCAACACACTTTCAGCTTTAAAAGGAAGAGAAGCAAAGACAGCCTGAGAGAAGACTATGTTTTTGTATCCTGCAAAATAAAAAGGAAGTTTTATGTTAGTACTTTAGGATCTTTTGAGGAAGAAAACCAGAACAGGAGGCATCACCATCCCAGACTTTAGCCTCTACTACAAAGTTGTCATCATCAAGACAGTATGCTATTGGCACAAAAACAGACACATCGACCAATGGAATAGAATTGAGAACTCAGAATTGGACCCACAATTGTATGGCCAACTAATCTTTGACAAAGCAGGAAAGAGTATCCACTGGAAAAAAGCCTCTTTAACAGATGGTGCTGGGAGAAGTGGACAGCAACGTGCAGAAGAATGAAACTAGATCATTTTCTCATACCATACACAAAAACAAACTCAATTTAGGATCTCTAAATGCAATGATTAAACCGTATTATTTCTCATCCCATTAACATAGAGCATTCCTGAATATAATTATTATGATAACAATTGACACTTAATGAGGGTTTACTATGCTGTTTTAAGCAACTTGTAAGTGTAGCTCTAGGACATGAGTATTGTTATTATCACCATTTTACAGATGTGGAAACAAAGGCGGAGATGAAGTAGTTTTCCCATGACTCCACCCCAGTATGGATTAAGGATTCAAACTCCTAAAAAGAAGATTCAAAGGTTCAAGGATGCCCACAGGTCTGGGAGGCAAAATAAATTCAAGGTATGCCAGAGACTCACTAGGTGGACACAACAGGGCCAAACATGGCAATGTGGAGTTGGATCCTTGCAAATAGGCTCTTCCTTGGTATTCTGTTCTATGACTGGTTTCCAGAGGTTGTAATACATCTTGCCACTTAAGAAGCCCATCCATTTAAGACCGTGCATTAATCATGACAGGTAAAGATCAGCCCCTCCACCCACCTTTACCACCAGTGTGTGCTAGGATTTCTAACCCCACAACCTGGCCACACGTACACCCCTCTACAATATGGTCAATCACTTATGTTTATGCTGCGACAGTGACAGTGCATCAGATCCCAAATATTCAGAAACTGTGCCCCATGTCCTGTGGGATTCAGAAAAAGTCCAGGAAAAAAAAAAAGTTTAAAGGCTCCTTTAAAGAAAGCACAGATGACTCTTTGTTGATGGAAGAGAAAGATGGAAATTTATACTAAAGCACTGTGCCCAGCATCACAGTGTGGGAGCCATTTGAGAGTTAAACACAGAAACCTCAAGAGTATACCAAATTAAGTATTGAGTAAAAACAAATATTGAAAGTTACCTTCGTTATTGTGTTTGTGTTCCAAAATGCCTGTTTCCCCCTCCCCTCTTTGGGGTGACTCTTAAGTCAGTGGAAACAACCAAAGAATTTGTTTGCTGAGAAGACAGGAAGAGACATAATAGCATACAGACTTTACAAGATAAATACCCATGCCTTGGGAAGAACACTTGACAGGAAAGGATGTATTCTAAACAGATGGGTCAGCAAATTTAATTGGATATAAAAATGGAAATTGAATTTTGTTAATTGCTATCATGAGCATATCAAAAACATATAGATTGAAAAACATCAAAAAAATAAACACTACATTTTTGTAGACAATCATTTGATTCTTAGTCATAACTTTGATTGTCTTACAATTCAGCACAAAATAGAACAATTCAGAACAAAAATAGCTTCTCCCTCTTCAGTCTACCTTACCAGCCTTATATCCTGTCTTATTGGTGCCCTATGAGTCATACTTTTCTTGAAGTTAATTACCAAGTTAGGGGTGAACAATCACAAAAGGTCTGAGTTATTAAGCAAACAGGCTAGGCGTCACAGAGCTGATGTTAAAACACAAATATGCCTACTTACCTGGATGGCTCTGACATTGGAAACCGGCTGTTTTGACATATTCACGGGGTCTTATCCCTAAAAAAACAAGTGAGAAATTGTTAAAGGTGGCGGCATTCAGATTCTCAGTCCTGATAAATTAGAACTTAACTCATAATTCAACTGGGCAGTCACCCCTTTCACTGGCCATATATTCTTTCCATCTCAGTTTCCGAAGTTACTTAGAGACTCTCCTTCCTAATGCCTTGGGGAGAGGGAACACTAGAGCGCCCAGATAAATCATTCAGGAGGAGAAATGCTGAGACGCCTTGGCCCTGATCTAATGATAGGCAATCAGAAACTTGAAAGGCGCTATCATCTCCTTCCCTGCCCTTCTGCCCCCACTGCCAAGAGCAGCAAAGCAAAGAGGTTGTGGGAATAAAACACCTTTGTTTAGGGCCTCAGAAGCTCTCCGTCTGAAACTGAACTTCTGATCTGAATGAGTTGTGGCCAGGGCTGTGTGTCAGCCCACTGGGAGCTCCTCCTCTCGATGAACACCCAAAGAAAAATGGCCTGAACTATGTTCTCACTCCTGCGACACCCTCCACTCAATTGTGCACATTGTGCTTACCGTGCACGGCCCTGGGAGGTGCTGTGAGGATGGGGCCACCTCTCCCCTCTCGGTGTGCAGATCCCAGACTCTGTCAACACAGGCAGCTGCAAGCCTCACCTGTCTTCTCTTCTTTTTTGTTTTTTTTTCATGTTTATTCACTTATTTTGAGAGAGACAGAAAGAGACAGAGCACGAGCAGAGGAGGTTCAGAAAGAGATGCAGAGAAAAGATCCCAAGCAGACTCCACACTGACAGGGCAGAGCCCAATGAAGGCTTCGGTCCCACGAACTGTGAGATCATGACCTGAGCCGAAATCAAGAGTCAGACTGAGCCACCCAGGTGCCTGTGTCTTCTCTTCTCTTCTCTTAACGAAATAGCCTCAGAAGGGAAATAGGACTTACATGACTGTGTCATTTCCCTAAGATGCAACAGTGCTTTCTTCCCAAAGGATTCGTGATTTCTTTCAAATCAGGAGACCTGGCTTAAAGCACAGTGACTAGTGGCCAAGGTTTTCCTGGCACTAGGGGGACAGAGAACAGCCTGGCTCTGGCCTGTTATCACACGTATAAGTTTTGTCATAGCTAGGCCTATAAAATGCTGACAGGCCCAATGGAAAAAGGTGAATGTTGAGTGAATGAAAAACATATCGCTACTTAAACCCCAAGTATAAAATGGGTTGAGTGACATTCCTCTACTGACTGGTGTAAATGTAGGTGCTAACCTGTGAATAAATTTATGAACACAGACAGCAGTGTGAGCATTTGCTACAAGTTCTGTGCAACCTGGCCTATGTCACCTAACATTTCGAGGCCCCTTTCCTCTTCCTCAAATTTTACCTGATTCACAGGCTGTGGTGAGAATCAAAATGACATAATGTTCCCCAAACTACCTTGTCAACAATAAAGCATGATGCAAATATTTATTGTTTTATTGCCACTGTCCACAGCTAGTGACTTTTCAGTACTTTACTGATCTACAGCTTAAAGTATGGAGCGAGAATTGATGGAGGCACCTGGGTGGCTCAGTCAGTTGAGTGTTCAACTCTTGATCTCAGCTCAGGTCCTGATCTTAAGGTTTATGAGATTGAGCCCCGAGTTGGGCTTTGTGCTGACAGTATGGAGCCAGCTTAGGATTCTCTCTCTTCCTCTCTTTCTCTGCCCCTCCCCCCACTCCTGCTCACTTGCATTCTCTCTCTTAAAATAAATACACATTTTTTTTAAAAAAAGAATTGATGTAATGACGCCTCTTACCACTTGTAAAGAAAAAAGAGCTGAGAACTCTGAAAAACATTGTCTTTTAGATCTTCAAAGTCTTAGGCTCTATTATATGAAGTCAAAAAATTACATAATTTTTAAACCTCTAATACATCCAAATATAAGTCTTTGGAGTCACATACATGAAAACAATGAGATTTTTTTTTTAGTTTCACTTGAATGTCTTGATAATACATAGATATATAACCTCCATCCAGAAGAGTTTAGTTAGAATTACTTTCGTTTTGGTTAAAAAATTAAAAAGCAACAAGAAATTGAACAATTAGGAGTGCATTTTTCTCTGTGACCTGTTTCATATAGATTTCTGTCTTTCCCGCAGTGTCAAAGAATCAATGAAGGCTTTTTAATTTTTGGATCTAGGATACATAGTTCAATTTCAAAAGGAAAATCTGAGCAGTTTAATTTTTAATGTTTCTATTCCTCAAAAGCTATTAGAAGTCATGCAAAGCAATAATTCTCACAGGACTTTAAACATCTCTGCATATAGTTTTCTCTCTGTGTGTACAACTACAGTCAAACCAATATCATTTGAAACTTTTAAAAAGTTACTATACATCAATTTGAAACAAGAAGTAGGAAACTTCTTTTGTTATTACAATAGAAACATGTAAACAAAAAATGGGCAATGAATGTGTTGCTCATTCTAACTAACCTACTGGATTGCTTTGTTTTTTTGTGGACCTCTCAAGCTAAAAGATCTACTTTGGCCTCCTCTCCTATATAGCCTCTGTATAATCTCATTTACATATGAATTCCTTCTTAACATATATGTCAGTCTACAGTAGAGACATCTTTAGAAAGTTGGTCAGATCCCAGCTCTCATTCCTTGCAAATGGGCTATATAACATTTGTATAAATCAGTCCTGCAGCCGTTCCCGCTGTCCTCATTATTTGCAGAGAAATCAGGGCAAGGCACGCTGATGAATAAAAATAGACAGTGTTCCCTAGCTGTTTCCCTGGCCCTGCATTCACCTCCATGAGGGATGCAGTGTAGAATGCACCTTCCTTCTTTATCTGCACGCCTCATCTCACCACCAAAAAAGAAAGCTATGCCTTAGACGCACAACTCTACTCACAGCTGGCCACAGCTTTTCATCCAAAGAGGTACTCTTTAAAGCACTCTATTACTGTGTCTCCTAGTTCTGGCTAAAATTTGGGAACACGGAAAGTTTGACAAGACATATACTGACTTTTACAAAGTCTATACTATAATGGAAATGCTTGCCACGTTAGCACAGTGGGGTTTTCCTGGAAGATGTGCAGGTCAGTGAGGAACTTTAATGGTCTGTATGCTGAGTCATATACAATATACCTCTGCTGATGTTTTGATTGGGTAGCACCTAATATCTGACTTCTAAATAAGACCTTTTCACTTACTAAAAATTTGCCAACATTAATATCACTAATTTAATAAGAAGGGATTCAGTGTAAAATAAATCAATATCTGGATAGAAAGGGCTTTGTTCGTTCTTTTTCAAGGTCTATTAAATGGCTGAAGCTCACTTTCATGGGGAATTATCTTCTGTCCTACAGCTAAAAATAATCCCTGAGAAGGGTGTAGAAAGATGTTCAGCTGTCTGAACTGACTAACTCCTTATTCATTTTGCCTGAAATATGCCGAGAGGCAAGAGACACTCTCATCGTTGCCGTGTCTCAGAACCTGGTGTCCACCCAGAAACAGACAGGTGCTAACTTCCACCCTGCTGGGCACGGGGAACACCGTGACCAAAGTGGTGCTTTCAAAAAGATGGATTTGTAATGTCAATCAATCCGTACAATGATAGAACTTTATCATTGAGGCCAAGCCCAGTGCTTAAGGAGAGGGGCAAAGCATTTTAAACTTGTACTGTGCAACAACTCCGGCAATCATTTGCATTTAGGTAAGTCAGAGCACTAACATTATAGCTTTCTGCTGCTGCAAATTCTCCTGATTATTTCTAGGCTTACAGCCCAAATCACTCTGTAGCTGACTGACTGTAACTCTGGCCATAAGAATGAAATGACATGATGTTCAGGGTCACAGTCATCCTATCTGGACTGTGGAAATTTTCGTAACGTCACCATCAATGAAAACTACTTTTAGTTCAATATTCTTTCAAATAGCTCCCTTCCATACACACACAACTTATAAAACAGAATCAGCAATACCACCACTGAACAGTGAATTTACAAGGAAGCTACATCCACTAGTCACAAGCCTACAAAGTTCTAAGTAGTCACTTCAAGTTAGGTATCAAGGAAATCTCCTTCAGAAATCCCAGCTGCCCGAGCTGGGTCCTTCTGCTTACCTGCTTTATGAATTTGTTTACTGCCTAAGGAAAGTCCCAAGCAGCCAGCTGCAAGAATACAAGGCTCCTCAGAAGGTGGAAGGGACGCCCGGTGTCCTCTGAGCTGTGATCTCAATTCCGATGCTTTGCATGTGGCTGAAATAGCTCAAGTGTTCGGTGCCTCACCCGGTACTGAGAGCTGCTCCCCGCTCGGGGCTGGAGGGAAACTCGGTTTAAGGCTAAGTGTTAAAGAGAATTCCTGTCATAGCTCACAGTTGTTCTTCCTAAATATAGAGTTTGATACAAGCCATATACTGGCTGCCTCTGAAAGTCCTGACCGTGCTGAAAGCAGGGCTCAAATGTCAGCCGGAAGGTGGCTACGGAATCTTACTGCTCTCCTAATCTTCCAGAAGATGCTGGCAGTGCTTTCTCATTCTGAGGGGACACAGTGAAGTTTGAAAAGTAGGAAAAGTTTCTATCTTTAACATTATTACCTGGAGGCCAGAAGATGAGGGGTGTTCAATAAAAATTAGAGAAGCAGCATGGCGCCCAGCTTATCAGGGGCACAGACATGCTTGGTCACTAGGAGCTCTTAAAATTCTTTCATGATCAGCACTCAATAAATGGCCACCAAATAATGATAATTATAATATTATGTTGAACTATAAGATACCGGTTCAAATGTGGTTCCAAGGCTGAATACTTGCCTTCTCTGCTCTACAGCCTCTACTGGTGACAATGATTTTGATCACAGAGCACAGGAGACAACAGCACAAAACAAAACAAAGAGGAAATATCTGTTTTAAGTATTTGCAGGGGCCAGGACCTGGAAGGAGGCAAAACACGTTTTAAACCGAACACTACCAAATCCTAAGACACATGCTCATTATTTTTGTTTCGGTTTGGTTTTGGGGGTTAAGGGGAGTTGGGATTTCTTTCTTGTGCTCATCATTTTTAACACTACTTTTATTATTTTTTTTAAATGTTTTTTAATTTATTTTTGGAGAGAAAGAGAGTAAGCAGAGGAGGGACAGAGAGAGAGGGGGACAGAGGATCCAAAGCAGACTCCTCTCCGACAGTCTGACAGCAGGGATCCCAATGCAGGGCTTGGACCCACGAACCACAAGACCATGACCTGAGCCAAAGTCAGAAGCTCAACTGACTGAGCCACCCAGGTGCCCCAACACTACTTTTAATAATCCGTTGATTTACTTTGCTTCTTCAGTCTCTGGAACTTTACACAGAAGTTCCCTTCAGTAGAAGGATCAAATAGAGTGAGCACACTTATAATTCATCCACTACATGAAAGTAACTCCAGGTATGAGTCTCTGACAGTGTGGTCAGCCAGTAAACTACTGCCAGCGACCATATCC